CAGAAATAAAATGGAAGCAGCAGAATCTTTTTTTGGAGCAGTGTCCACTCATGGAAAAGAAATACGAAGAGATGACAAATTTCTAAATCCTGTTTATGAAATTCCATATATAACTCATTTAGTCCAGTAGCCCTAAAGATTCTCATTTCTGTGTTCATGTGGGATTAGCTTCTTTGCAAAGTTACCTGCTCAAGGTAAGCTATCCAGAGCCCTAGATGCAGGTTTCATGTCTTGCTAATCTGCTTGCCCAGAGTTAGACACTGTAATAGATCTATCTGGGCATTGCAGTGCCTAGGTAATTAAAAAACAAGGTGTGAAAATAATAAAAGCAAGGTCACTGTTCTGTGGGACCACAGGAAACACACAGAGGCTGAGTAAAGCTGTGTGTAACGCAGGCCCCATGATGTGAAAACTCCATCTACACAAGGACTCCAAAGTCTTGAAATCTCTCCCACCTATGGTCAAAGCATGCTCAAGAACCAGCTCTGGGACAGCCAGTCGTCTTCAAAGGACTCCTCGCAGAGCACAGGCACAAGCAGGACCTGCATCTGCTCCATTTCCAGCAATGCAGCTGCAGGTCAAGAGCCAGAACTACTCAAGAGAACTGTCCTCGAAGCCTTCTCCTCTGGGTATCGACCCCATGATCATCAGCAGGTACCACCAGCAGGTACACTCTGAAACCACCACATACATACAAACACGGTCCTAATGCAACATACCTGTACGTAACACCCCAGAATTACAGAACAGTCACACAAATGCTGTAGGTATTACAATTTAAATAAGCAGCTCTCAAATGGAGATACCCTCAGGGGTTTTGCTGGAGAGGATGTAAGTCACATTTGAAGGGAAGAAAGCTTTACTTACCTGAACAGAGCTCCCAGCTATTCTCTGCTCCTCTCCTTACCCTGCCTGATGATCTTCCCTCTTGTGGCACATATGTGAAGACTACAACACTTTGAGCCAGTTTCAAAAAACAAAGGATGGCTGATGCAAACAGCTGGGACCTGCTGAGGTAAGAGCCTCTGCAGCATAGGCTGGGGAACAGTACGAGAGCTGGACAGGGCTGCATGGAGAACAAACAGGGATCCAGGCAAGGGGACAGGACCTCCCTGCCTGCAGTATGACCTGCGGGCACCCAGAGGCTTTGCCACAGTGTGAGCCATCACTCAGCCCCGCGCTACGTGGGTATTTGACAGAATCCTATCTTGCCTCCCTCACCCACACAAGCTCTTCCTGCCTCTTCCTCCCACCACTTTCACTGTTCTGCTACTTTCAGCTAAATCCACCTGCCAAGAAGTTTTGGCACAAACATGTGCAGCTCTTCTGCTACCAGCACTCTCTTCTTTGCTCCTGACTGAGGAGCTGATCTGCCCCTGGCAGACCCCGTGTCTCTGCATGGTACCAGCGCCCCCCTGGTTTCTGTACCTGACCCGGAGACATCAACAACAGGGAGTGGAGAAGCCCCTTTTCCCTGCAGACATGGACATCTCTTGCCCCATGCTGAGGGAAGGAAGCAGAGGGACCCCACAGCAAGGGATGCTGGAGCACACAACACCCGCTGGGGGCTCTGGGGTGCCGGACCCACAGCACACAGGAAGCCCCAGAACATGCAGGTGTCCCAGGCAGCCCTTGCACAAGTGCCTGGAGCTCTGCGCTGTGCCAGACACGCTTGCTGCCGAGAGACAGCACTGTGCTCCTTCCCCACCAAAAACCCCGAGGCCTCCTGTGTGTATGCTAACCACAACCCTTTGAGAGGCTCGTGTATTTACAAACTGAGGCATGTTGAAATCAAAGGGGATACCATATGACATAATTCACATTAAAATGTCAGCAGGCTGACAATTTATAGTCAATCCACAGAAGGTGGGGAGAAGTAAGACACGGTAATTGTTTAATTCCCGCTTAAACCAACAGCAGCTTTACCTTCAAAGCGGTACAATGTGCAGGGCTGCTGTCAGCCAAGTGATGCCAGCCCATGGCACTGGGCCAGGAGTGAGGTAACAGCGTTAACTGTTTATAGGCCCTTCTCACCAGCAGCACGCAGGCTCAGGGCTCAGATGCTGCTTGGAGAAACACAGCTCCAGCCCACCTCACAGCAAATATTTGCTGTCAGCACAAGGACAACCTGTTTTTCAGGAAGACAGAGTCCCTCTCGCTGGGGCACTGGAGGCACAGCCCTGAGCCTGCGCTGTGCATCCCACCACCATGGCACACCTCCTTCTTGGGAGCAGACATCATCGGGCTGCGTCCTTCTAGGGACCAGCAGATGAACCTGCCTGCACCAAGCAGCCCTGACCCGCTAGATGCAACACCACAGCAGCAAACATCGGAGGGATGAGGTGCCCCAGCTGTAAATTACTTCACGGCATACCTGAACTTTTTACCCCAGGTAGATTGCAGCACCTTTGCCCGTATCAAATAGATTGCAGTGTTTTGTGAGACATGACTCCTGGCCACCTCAGCTCGCTTATATCCCTTGCCCACAGACAAGCTGCCAGCGACACATCTTGTAGCCTGTAATAATGCATAAGGAAAGCAGAGAGAGAAATGTGCACCACTGGGAAAGATTTTACCTGGATAAACCACAGCCAATAAATTTTCTATAAATGCCAGCTAATACCGGCCCTTTGAGAGCAATGGGAAGGGACTGTATGGGCTGCAGAGTCCTCCACACAGACTCACTGTCTGTACATAAACAGTAACACCTCATTCTCTCTTCTACTTCATTAACTGAAACGCATTAAAACAAGTGTGCACTGGGAGCAGAAAATGAGACTGTTAAACCAAGCTGATATAATCCTCATCAGCTGTGGGAAATGAGAACACATCCATTACGCTGAATCAAGTGCGCCAACTGTGATTTACCGATAATGTTAAGACCCCAAGAAAGATGCTCTTCCCCCTCAACTGCTCCTTTCACACTAGGCAGCTCAAGCTGCCGTCTTCAGGACTGTCTGGTGTGTTACACCCAGAGCACCGAGGTTGCCTTTCCCATTCCAGCAGCCACCCTCCAAACACACTGCCCTGGGCCTTGGTCTAGCACTGCAGACAGTCTCCTTTCCCCAGAAGATATCTGCTCAGTAAGAAGCAGGGAAACTTTTGATTCCAAGTATGAAAGGGGAATAAAAGGCCAGGCCAGCAGAGCAAACACACAGAATCACAATCCCATCCTGGGACATTCGCATGAAGTGTGACAGTGTTTGACAATGGCAGGGTTTTCCTAGGGTGACGGACATGCAGCTGAGGCATCTGCACTATGCCTTAATGTTACCAGCCTGCAAAACAGCAAAAAAGGGAGAAAACATCATAGTGCCTGTGTGTAAAACTACCAGCACTGACACCAACGTGTGTCAGAGGTGTCCTCTAACCCCCAGGTTGGCGGTCAGATGCAGAAAGAGACTGAGTTGGGGGAGTCTCAGCAGAGGCAACAAGCGCAGTGATCACTGACCTTCAGCAGCAAGCAGCCGGCTCCACACGAGGATGAAAAGCTGCTCCCTTCTTCCGGGAGAAAAAACAGTCATTTTCTCTTACCCCAGAGAGCAAGAGCAAGGGAATCCTCCTGACAGCACCAGAACTGGACAGACCACATTCACATCAGAGAAGAGTGAGCAGCTTCAGGCCCTCCAGCAGCCTTGGGGTTGAACTGCTGACCCCACCGGAGCAGCTCAGGTTTCCAAGTTCCCTTTTCCCTGCGCCAAGCAGCGATTCTGGCGCAGCACGATGGGGTCTCCGCTTCCAACGCCTCTGCCTTGCCTCCATGCTTAGAGCAAGAATGTAAACAACCACTTCAAACCTCACATCTGCTCCTTCAGAGCTTCTAAAGGAAATGCGACTATTAAACAGCATTTCTCTCCAAGTGGAATCTGGAGCACAGTCTAGACTTGGCTCTCTGGGACTTGTTCCTTGATATGAACCTCAGGGAGTGAAGAGGACACATCAGGGTCTAAACCGGCAGCTTCCCACAGCCTGTGCAGGCATTTTGAACAGGGTCCATGAAGTCTGTTTAACCAGCATGATGTGTGCAACAGAATCACAAAGAAACAGGCATTTAAAGTGACATCTGTTGGATTAATTAGCTGTGTAATTAGCCTCCCCTCTGTGGAGATAGGCTTTGTTACTTCCCCAGGTGATTTTCTTTGTAACCATGTTCTCCAAGCATGAGAAGGGGAGGAGTGAGTGGGATAGGATTGTAATGCCTGCTCACGAAGAGAGGCAGAATCAAGTCTAGAGGCCATTATGCCGCTGAGGGGAAATAAATGGCAGCAGGTCAGAGGACCGCAACCATCATGTAAAATGTGGCGAAACCCCAATAGGTCACGTGCATCAGTCCTTGTAAATTCTGTAACCATGGATGGGTGAGGTATGCACAAGGGATGAAGGACAGGATATAATCCAGATTTTTACAATCCCCCTGTTTAGATCAGAGCATCCTGGCCACTCTCCCCACCTCCCCATCTTGTAAGCCCCCGAGCTGACAAGGGGGAGTCAAAGCAGGCTCAAACACTGCGATGAGGCAGCAATGCTGTCCTACCAGAGCCACTGCAGCCTGTTTCGCTGACCAGAAAAATTGTGAGCTAACGCTTAGGACAAAGAGGAAACCAGGATCCTGGGATTAACTGCACTGTCCTGATCAACGGCTAAATAGAGGTACATCCTCAGAAATCCACCTCCATGCTTTAAATGTGGAACAAGAATGGGAAGGGAGGAATTAAAGCACTGATTTCTGCTGTTGGGGAAAAAAAGCAACGTAACAATGGAGCTGTATGGCAACTCCAGCATAAATCCAACCACTACCTAAGCAAGCATTTGCAGTAGAAGTTGATCCCAGCAGCTTTTCCATATTGTACCACAACATCCATACTGCTAATTTTTCACAGCTCATGGCAACAGGAAGGGTTCAAAATCAAGCAGTGGGAAGGCAGCTTTTGAGAATGATGATCAGTGGCCCAAAAAATCAGATGACTCTAAAACCAGATTATTTTACTCTGGATACACATCAAGTCCTTGCCAGAGCCATGTGAGCTGGAGCCTGCTCCTCCTAACACATCACCAACATGCTGTCTGTTTGTGTCCCAGCAGTGGTCCTGGGAGGTAGTGAGGGGCAAACTGGTATCACGAAGCTTTGTGGTAAATATCCACCTACCATCTTAAACACTGCCACTGTCTCACTGCAGCTCTGTGGGCCCAGAGCTCCGTGTGCTACATGCCCCAGCAGTGGCTCTGCAGTGTGGGGAGCAGTCTTTGGCAGCAAGGCAAAATAACCTGGAGACAAGTATCTTCAAAGTGCTGCAATAGGGTTTACCGGAGCTTGTCCAACCATACCAAAAGGCACAACTTTGAGAGAACCTGTTGCACAACTGTAATGTATTGCCTAATTTGAATTGCAGAACTTCACTGCACACATTACAGTCTGAGGCCAGGATTTTTAGGCCTGGCAAGTAGGACCAAAATAACATTATGGTATTAGGTTATGTATTATGCATACATTATTTATTGTGATATAATGAACTCCCTAGGAGATAGCAAACATAGGACCTCCCATGCTGCTTCCACAGTAATTTTGGGGACTTTAACTGTTACAAAACTCTATACAGAAATGGCTCCATTATCTCAGGAGAATGACAAAGTGCCATGCAGCCTGGTTGCACTAACACAGCCTAACAGAAATCAGCAGTTCACACCACATCACACAGAATAGGTTGCAGAAAGCACCTCATGGCTCTTTCCCAGCTTGCAAATCAAGCCACTGCTAGAGATGGATGTTAATGAATGGCTATCCATTATTTAATAAGCTCATCATAAAGAGCCTGCAGCTGCACTGCAGTTACCTGCCAGGACTGTTACCCACAGTGCTGAAAACCCAACCAGGAAAAGGAATGAAGAGCATTTCCTAGGTCTTCCAGGAATACTACCCAAAGAGAAACACGATAGCCCAGATGGAAGCACAGGATCATCAGTGGGGGAATCACTCTGAGTACAGGTCTTCAGCAGACACTGGCAAGCAGGGGTGCACAAGCCCTGTACTGCAACTCCACTCACCAGCTTCAGCGTCGTACAAAACATCCCCACATCTCTTTTCCCCACTCACTCCATCACTCCTACACCCAGGCTTCTTCCAGCCCTACCCACTTGTCCTCACACACTCCCCCTCAACACTCTCCTCTGAGAGCAGCAACCTTCTGTGTCTATGCAGGGCAACACCAGGTACCCAACAGCTTACACCACCACAGCAGGATCTGCTAGAGTTTCTGCCATTCAATGGCTCTATGTCAGAGTGATGACCATAACCATCTTGTCCTCACTCTGGAAGTCTGTATAATAAGCATCACCCAAAATGGAAAAAATCCTGCTTTGAAATTTACACATTCATCCACATGATCAAAAAAATTATTAGGATAAAAAACCTGAACCATACAGACATACAAACCTGGCCCCATGCATGGTGAAAGGTCATACAAGATTCACACTGATGCCTCATCGAAGCAATGACATCTCACTGCGAGAGAACAGCCGAGGTCTGAGGCAGCTTTGCAAGACCCTTCTTGCTCACCAGTGTTCAGCCTGTCCCCATGAGCCCACAGATCCTGGTAAACGAGGGTGAAAACAAGCCCAAAGTACCTGTGGTTGCTCTCAAGGGACTGCTGCAGATCAGGATAAAAGCTTGCGAAGGTGCTTTTTGTTTGGTTATTTTTCTTGGGTTTAGTTTGTTTATTTGGAGTTTTTTACCCATTCTCACAAATACTTTGAACTCTAAATCCTGTTTGACAGAGAGCTTTTAGCTGCATGGTTTGGCTAACCCTTAGCTCCTGCTGTGGCCATCACTTGCTCCTGTGCCAGTTGCAGTCTCCCTCATTTGTTATTCAAGTTGTTTTTACATGGTGGTTTCTCCACTAAGCTGTTGGTTGCACATGGCTCAGTACTGGAAAACTGTTGAAAGAATCTAAGTGACTAAAGTTCACAAATGAAACACAGAGCAGGCAGCGCTGTGTGTTGTCCACAGTTCTGATCTCAACTCTTTCAAAAAGTAGTATAAAATGTAATTTTTGTGATCCTGTATAAACATATTTCATTATTAAATACCTAAAGGAAGGTAAAAACTGTTGTGCCATGCTGCTGTGATGGAGCAATCTGACACTCAGAGAAACACGCAGTCCCAAGAGGGAGTCTTCTGAAAGGGTTAAATCGATTGTGTTTTTTGTATTAAAATACTTGGAAATCCCAACAGGATGCAAAAGTAGAACCAGACTGTGGGGGTTCATTCTTCCTGTAGTTGACTGTACTGTGAAGAACAGTTTCGTGGAGGAGCAAAGCACTGACTGAATTTCTTCCATCCTGAAAGAAGGCAGAGCACAGGCACAAAGCCTGCAAGAGGTGCTGCCGGGGCCAGGGATCTGAGCTAGGCACAAGGTCCAGCACCAAACCCCCTCCAATCACATCCAGAATGTGGGCAGACCAGGGTGTAGCTCACAAAGTTTCTTCAGCAACGGTACAGCAAGGTTCAAAGCTCAACCCAGATCTAAGCACACTCAAGCCCTCAGAACCACTTCATTTCATAAGCACATCTTTTATTATGAGCTCACCAAGACTACAGGACGGCAGATTTGAATTAAAGGTTTCAAAATCCAGCTTTAAAAACAACTTTGTGGGGAGACTTAAGTAAAGCTGCCACTGGAATTTTAGCTTAAGACCTTGTAGGAAATCGGCAGAAAGTCTGTTATGCTCTGTAATTTAACCAGGCTTCTGGCACAATTCATGTTACTCATGAGTGTAATTCAGAGCTGTGATGCTGCATCAATAGTTCAAAAGATAAACTTGCGAAAATAAACCCAAAACACACATAAGGCAGTCAGTGAGTAAATCAAAGGTTAATACAGCTCTAAATCCTCTGTAACAAGCACAACAGACTCTTTGCGGGCAACTTCATCCTAAGAACCTCAAAAGGCAGAGACTGATGGAAGCTTCTGATAAAATCAAACCTCAGACATGTTCCCTTTTGCCTATGTTCAATCACTCGGGCATTTGCAAGCTGAATCACAGCACCTACTTGCACCTCCAGCAATGCCGAGCTGGGCTCTGTACACCACCACAGGGTCTGGAAGCTGAGGCTGGGCTGGGTCCCATGGGTGACAGTAGAGCCACCACGTGCTGACAGCAGCCGGGGCTTCCTGCCACCCTCTGTGTGACAGGAGAAGACCTCTACCAGCAGCTGCACAGGCATGGCCAGTGCAGAGAGCTGTCCAAACTTATGGTAGGCTGATTAAACCTACGGAGGGGAGAAAAATCAAAACACTTTCCCCTTTAGCCTCTTGTATTTTGGAGCCAAAAGCCAAGAATTCCTTTTATTTGCTTCTTGCTGATGCCACTAATTTTAAGCCTTTTTTTTTTTTTTCAAGTTTGAAAACCCAAGATGCCTGTTTAAAACTCATAACCTGACAAAACACAGAGCTTTCCTACACTGAAGTCCTACAGGAAACACCTACCGTCAGCCAAGCACTGGCATGAGGTTACTCCCATCAATACCTTGCTGCAGAATGATAGCATGCTTAATTCAACAATCCAGAAAGGAACAGAAACCATATTTTAACAAACCAGCAATTTCCACTAGCAGGGAAATCAGTGCAAGGTAACAGGGCATACTTAGAACAATCCATTCCTAGTACATAACCAAAGCTTCCAGCTACCTGCTATTTGAGTTTCCTGAGCTGGAGCTTGCATCCCAATGACCACCTAATGAATACTGACATGCTATCCATCCTGCTCCTTTTTCAGTTTGTCTGTACGCCCACCCTCTGCAACATCCAATGGTCGTAAGATTCACAGGTTAATGATATGCTGTACAAAAAAAGTGACTGCTGCCTGTTCACCTGTTTTGGATTTGTGCGTCAAGCTAACTTCAAAGTCTGTTGCCTTCACACAAGTTACTCCAGCTAGCACTCATCTCTACCACTGTCTCTGGCCCTCATCTAGTGTTGTTAATCCTTCCTAAAGTGAGCTAAAAGGAACACAATATTCAACAATCAGGCAAATCAAGGATTTACACAGCTCCCATGTTTTATCCTGCTTGCCACTGTTCACTGAGTTAATGTTTTCAAAGAGACTGGGAATGATTTCACGTCTCACTTACACGAAGAGCAAATCTAAACCTGCTTTTGCTTTATAACCCCCTCTTTAATTTTCCTTTTTTTTTTTTTTTTTTCCATGATAGGGGGAGCAGGAAGAAAAGCCCAGACATCCCCACCATAGCTGTCTGCCCACCATCCCTCCAACACTGCTTGACACTGAATTTAGAATCATAGAATAGTTACGGTTGGAAAGGACCTTAAGATCATCAAGTTCCACCCCCCCCCCCCCCCGCCATGGGCAGGGACACCTCACACTAATCCATATCACCCAAGGCCTTGTCCAACCTGGCCTTGAACACTGCCAGGAATGGAGCCTTCACAACCTCCCTGGGCAACCCATTCCAGTGCCTCACCACCCTTACAGGAAAGAATTTGTTCCTTAGATCCAATCTAAACTTCCCTTCTTTAAGTTTGAACCCATTACCCCTTGTCTATCACTACAGTCCCTTACGAAGAGTCCCTCCCCAGCATCCCTATAGGCCCCCTTCAGATGCTGGAAGGCTGCTATGATGTCTCCACGCAGCCTTCTCCAGGCTGAACAGCCCCAACTTTCTCAGCCTGTCTCCATACAGGAGGTGCTCCAGTCCCCGATCATCCTCGTGGCCTCCTCTGGACTTGTTCCAACAGGTCCATGTCCTTTTTATGTTGAGGACACCAGAACTGCACACAATACTCCAAGTGGGGTCTCATGAGAGCAGAGTAGAGGGGCAGGATCACCTTCACCCTGCTGGTCACACTCCTTTTGATGCAGCCCAGGATACAGTTGGCTTTCTAGGCTGTGAGCACACACTGAAGCCGGCTCATGTTCATTTTCTCATCGACCAGCACCCCCAAGTCCTTCTCCACAGCACTGCTCTGAATCTCTTCTCTGCCCAGCCTGTAGCTGTGCCTGGGATTGCTCCAACCCAGGTGTAGGACCTTGCACTTGGCATGGTTAAACTTCATGAGGTTGGCATCAGCCCACCTCACAAGCATGTCAAGGTCCCTCTGGATGGCATTCCTTCCCTCCAGCGTATCAACCGAACCACACAGCTTGGTGTCATCGGCAAGCTTGCTGAGGGCGCACTCAGTCCCACTGTCCATGTCACCAACAAAGATGTTGAACAAGACCGGTCCCAACACTGATCCGTGAGGAACACCACTCGTTACCCATCTCCAGCCAGACATTGAGCCATTGACCACAACTCTTTCTGTGCGGCCAGCCATATATCACCTCCTGTGAAAGCACTTAGTGTTACGAAGTTCTCTTGCAACTATCATTCAGCTTTACACCTAAGTAGTCTATGTATTTTTACTTCTTTATAGCACAGTTTTCAATCTGTTTTGAGAAGACACTGGAAAGCCTGCGTGAACTTGCCTGTGGGCTGGCTGACAGCTTCAAGAAACTAGCAGTGCTGGAGGATCTTCTCTTACCCAAGTCTGTCCTTCCCCTTTCTAATCTATATGCCTACTAGGACTCTTCCCATTACAGTTTCTATCAATTTGCTGACTTACTGCTTTGCAGTTTCAGTTCAGTACACGTTACCATGAGGAGTCTGCCATTTCACACGCAGGTTCCTGGAGAGCCTTTAAGTGAAGAGCCCTGGAAACCCCAGTGACTTCTGTCCTCATTGTTACCTCTATTTGAGACCATCTCTTAGATTTATCCTGTGTTACAAGAATTTCTTCAGTTCTCCTCTGGAATGCTGGTGAGAAGAATTCATCCCTCCTTCCCCTCCCCATACTGTGGTCCTTCTTCTCTTTTCATTTTTCTACCTCCTCTTGAAATACTTTTCTATTTAATAATGTTGGACTTTCTGTGGACTTTGGCAGAGTCTCTCCCCCACTCTGTTTTCAACCTGTTCTCATCCATAATATACATTTAATCCAAGCACCTACCGCGTTTTTAAGAAAATCCTCTGTGACCTGCACACATCACACCCTTTCCATTTCTCTAACAGTAGCTCACCCATTTTCATGTAGTTTTAACTTCAAAGCTAGAGTATTATAGTAAATACATCTCATACAATATTAAATGCATCCTGTAGGATTAAAAATTTGGGGGGATTTTTCAACAAGTTTCTTCATGTTGACGCTTCAAGCCTCTCGAAGTTCAGTCACTGCATCCCCTGCTATCACAATGCTCTACTATTTGCAAGGTGGTAGCTAAAAAAGAGTCTCCTATTGCACTTTCTACACTGCAAGCTGTTGAATTTCCCCTTGCACATCACAGCCTCCCTCCAGGCCTGGTAACTGGTAATACAGCCTTGAATGTTCCTAATTGTGTAACGTAAATCACTGCCAAGGATTGTACAGTGTTTTACCGGAGTCAAGCAATTAATGCACACAGTCACCCCAACTCCTCCATGTTCTGCAGTGTTGTCAGTGTTATCTTCGTTTCCACCAGCTTTCTCAATTGCCTATTTGATCAGTAGCTTCATTTAAGACCAACAGGCCCATCAGCTCTTCAGTTAACACTGCACAGCACATATGCTTTTGGTTTTGGTCTCTCTCATGTATTGTACTAACTGAACTGCAAAGCTTGGCTCCCAAACCCCAGAACAGCGCCTTGCTGCAGTTCCTCCAGCTCAGCCCTGCTGCTCTCAGGAAATGTGCTCCTGCTGTGCCTGTGGGAGAGAGAAGGTGAGACACATGCTCCTCAGTGAACCAGGAACTCCCACCACCTTCTGCTGGGTTTGCAGCTGCACCTTCTCACAGGTCATCTTTGCTTTTCTTTCCAAGTCAGCATAGACCCACAAAGCTTCATTACCACCAGTATCCTGAATACTAGCATTAAGAAGTCATTTTCCTGCACACTCTACATCTCCCAGTTAACAAAGAAGCTCTATGCAGGGCAATCCAAATCATGTAACCCAAATCCTCTCCTTCAGACTGCCTATCCCCTAAAAAGTTAACTCAGCACTTGGAAAGACTGAAAAGGAAGACACTGAATGAACTCATTGAATGCACTCATTTGGCAGTCTGGCCAGCAGTGTGTTTCTTCAGCAGTTCTTTGTTTAAACTTCTTCTGAGTTACAGGTTTTGAACTAAAGAGTTTCAGGAAGTTGTAGGAAATGTCCAAACTTGGCTCTTGCTCGAGCAGATTAATTCCTTCTGGAAATTCCACCTGTGCAATAGATGGCAGGAACTAGTGCCTGACCTATTCCAGATGTATGGAACGCTGCTCTGCTTCAGGTCTGGTCTAGTCTTCTGCTATCACGAGGAGACAAGACTTAGCTTCTGTTACAGTAAGCTTCCACTTGTCAAGAGTTTGTACAGTCTCTGCCTCCCTGCTTACAGCCACAGTGCAGCTGAGCTCCACTCTCACTGTGTTCATCAAGCTGTGCTAGATAAGAAACAAAGGCTCCTCAAACCTGACATCTACCTCAAGCCAGTACATCCACGTCAAAAACTTGAACACTTATGTTTGCAATGGTGCTCTTGCTTTCCAGGTAGTTTCTCAGAATACAAAAGCCACCAGCCAGAGGGAGCAGATAAGCACATGGTGAGAGGCACAAGTGCCACATTCCCCCAGATAAATGACAGGATTTTCAGTTTAGGTGCAGGATTTTAGGGAGACAGTAGGGATTTTGGAAAACATAAGAAGAAAGGAAGGATTACCAGACTCTACCAGCTTCTTGTCATAAGCAAGGCCCCCACTGCAGCATCCATGCCCCTCATCATGGACATGGAAGAGGTCTGATGAGAGCTATTGCCATGTGCAGAACTAAGATGGCAGTGGAAGACCAGACCTCCTCATGAGGCACTGAAGCACTGCAGGAGAAACTAAAAGGTTCACCAGACTACGGGCTAACAGTGTCTCCAGATCACATTTTTTGGCAGCAAGTAGCACTAACAAGTGGCTCTTCGGCAATGCAAGCAGCCAGTAACATGTGATTTACGAGTAAAATGGCAAAAAGGCGGAATAAGGAGGATTGTGTGTGATAAGCCCAGAATGCGCTCTCACCCAGCAGCATCTGGAGAGGATTTTCTCCAGCAGGCAGGGAAGAACTCGATTACATCCAGTTAACTGTGCTCTAAACTGATTATGCATGTGCCAGGCTAATGGATTACATTAGCAAGAGGAAAAATAACATCCAATCAATCTCAATTTACTGCAGACCACACCAAGGCCTGAGAGAAGAGAAACCATTCTGTGAACTACCCCCACTGCTGCTGCATCTTTTCAGCTATCAAGAGAGACATGGCATTACGACCCCTCTGAAGACTGCAAGAACTGCATTGATGCTTGCTTGATTCAGAGAAAGGTTTTTCCAGTGTTTTCAAACACTGATTCTAGCTGTGCTGGGGTGAGACACCGTGAATCCAGCCATCCACTGTCCCCTGCTAAAGGCTTTCTATAGACAGGTTAGAAAGCAAATACATGGACCATTCAGCAGACTTCACAACTCTGAAGTGTGTTATTCTCCATCTAGTGTTTCACAGCTTTTGTATCAGAAGCAACACAAGGCTGTAGCAGCTGAGAACGGCCCAAGACTCTTACAAACCTGAAATGTGACAACTCCTCTTGCCTGCATGAGGAAAGCATTTCAGGAATCTTCATTACAAGCATCTATGGCTGTCCCCAAGTCTCACTTTGTTCCCCACTCTTCCTTGGAGTGATAGGACTCTAAAGCCCCGACTGCTTCTTTCCCAGCAGAAACCACTGTAGGTGAGGGGTCTATACAAAGAATTTTTAAACGTCTGCAATGTATATTTAAGAGAACAATATCACGTGTTAAAACTCGTAACAGAGCTTCTGAACAACTCTTCTGCACCCCAGACTGAATTCCACAGACTGAAGAGATTCAGTTCCTCAAGCTGGCTTTTTAAAGGCTCACTGGGACTATCCTGCCCATGTCCAAGCTAATTTGCTCTCTTAGGTCTCCTGCACATCTGAGAGCAGAGGTTTATGTGTAAACCTGACCATTTTTAGAGCCAGTCTCTGCTGTTTTAAGCCGGATCCCAGGTGAAGATGGTAACAGCAATCACACAACACTCTTGACCTCAACAGAGTGCTCAGCAAAAACTGATTTCGCCTCAGAGCACCTCCCCATCAACTCCAGACAGGTCCAACTACCATAGTTCAAAGCAAACCCTCTACAATGCTCCTGGCTGTTTCCTCTCTGAATTTTGTGGAACTGCTCATTTCTAGGGAAAATCCAGTATTTTGACATCTGCGTGCACTGTGACACAGGTGGGCTACTGCACCACCAGTTCAATGTCAAGTTTTAAATTCCCATTACATAAAGAAAATATTCAGAGAAATAATTTAGAAGTACAAAATACAGTCTATTTATGTATATATACTTCTATATGAAAAATGGCACCACATTTAGGGGAAATCAGGAACAAAAGGATGAGGACAGAAAGAATATAAAAACAACCCTGAGAGAAATGAGGAGACAATGAGCGGGATAGCACGTGTGAAGGGAAGGTATGTGGCTGCTTAGATTTATGGCAATTCGTACCTGATTGTTCATAGTAAAGCCATTATGGGATGATTAGAGAAAAAGGTGAAGCTTTAAGTCCAGTGAAAATCAATAGAAACGTCTGCAGCAATTTTGCTGCACGAGTGAAAGGACTATTTACTGTATCCGGAGCTCCTCTTGGGTTACAGCCCACAGGGCTCAGGCCAGTGAGGGGAAGGGGTTGTGAGTGAGAGAAACAAGTCAGGAAAGAGATGATGGTTATAAAAAAGACACCAAATGAAAGAGGGTGGAAGAGGAAAGAAAACAAGATGCAGTCACAGGCCAAATCCTGCCATAGATGGAAACCTGCAATGCCTCCAAATATCTGTACACACACAGAGTCAAGTAAATGCACGTTTATACAGGCTTCTCTTTGAGCATTTCCCTTCTCCAGCCTGCCAACACTTTGCTGGTTGCAACATTAATGTACACAGAACATAAAAGAACAGAGACAGTGGCCCTCTTCCTCCACCCCTCCCTTCTCCATCCACCCAGCCTTCTCCATGCCAGGATAACACACTTCTCCGATGGCAGCAAAAGCCTCCAACTGCTTGTGGAGAATCTCGTACGGGTTAACAGACTGCTTCATGGAAGAAAGCCAACAAAAGCGTGGCAAACACTGCCTCACGTAACATTTTCAACAGTGAATGTTGAATTTCTGTGCTGAAGTATCATTTAAATGCAGTACTAGAAAGCATACAAACCTCCATTAAAGCACCTTGACATGAACACTCATTGGCCTAAGGCTTTAAGCACCACATCTGATATCAAAATGCAGGCTGAATTGTTGCACCATGCAAGTGAGACTGGGTTCTGCTTGAGAGATCTGAGCAGCTCATCTCCAAAGGATTACAACCCACTGCTGTTCAAATTTTCCTTTGTTCCAGCACTTGGGCAATGAAGGAAGATGAAGCAAAGCCAACCCTTACCTTATACAGCTTCAGGCTGGCCTCATGCCTTGAGTTCACTGTGTGAAGACGCAGCTTCTCTAGACTGTTGGTGTAGTAGTCGCACGCATTGCATTTCAGGTGTACCGGATTCCCAATGGCCACACACTTGAGCCTCCACTCATTGGCCTTTCCACCCTCCTTGATATGTGCTACCAGCTGGTATTTCTGCACATGCTTGTCTGTCTTACAGTGGAGTTGAAAGTTTGCCTTGAGCTGTGTGTTGTAGCGGCACAACTTGCACTGGTATGAGTCCCCCATCACTGCCTTCCACTCATCTTCAGGGAGGCTACGCTCCACATTCATGTGGAGGCCCAGCATGTCCAAATTATCTGTAGTGAACTTGTTGCACACAGCACACTGGAACAGCTTCAGCGATGGGTCATTTGTTTGTGTGAAACTCTCACCCAGGTTCATTAACTCCTCAGACACCAGCTGTCCACCACCTAACCGCATGTCCAGGGGGATGTCTCCACCCACTGCATGAAGGAAAAAGGGAAGAAAGAGGTCAGAAAAGCTGAATTCTTTACTTGCTTGAAGAGAAGCACACAGTAGAACACACGCCGCTCTCGGTGCAACTCTTGCACCCATCAAACACTCAGCAAGAGCTAAGCACACCATTCCTTTTGCCTACTCCCCTGTTCTGCTGGTCAGTGCCGTATCCAAATAAAAAAGCAATCACAACCAGCATGTAAGGCTGGGAAGGGACCATGCTAGCTCTTGCTACCCACCCACTGAAGAAGTATCAAACCCTCTGCCCCTGAAAGCAGCAAGAAAAACCCTACAGAGTTTTAGAGGCCACAGAACTTCTTAATAGCACACTGAAGCCTCCATGGTCATTTCAAGAACAGCATCAACACTTCATCTTGTTTTTTTCTTGCCTACCTAGAGAAGCAAGAACTGTTACCTCACACAGTGAGAGAGCACAGTACCTGCTAAATAAAAACAGTCAAGAGCCTCTGGTCCAAGTGGTGGGAGTACTGCAGCTTTGTCCCCACACTGCCATCACAAGTAGATAACAGAATGTGGCAGTTACAAAAACAACCAGGAAAGTGCCACTCCTGTATTATTAGATCTCACCTCTTGTCCAACAGTTCAAAATGGTGCACAGCCTTCTAAAAACAGTGTTAACAGACATTCTGTATGCCCAAGGAAAAGACAAACACTATTAATAATGAGAGTGCAAGAGCATGTCAAGGAAAGCCAGCAGGATGCTTACTGTCAGACCTATTCCTCAAACCATGAGCTGAAGTCTACAGTAAATGAATGCAGCAAGCTCTTATGTACATCAGCACTCTGAAGATGTGGACACAGAGACCTTTTTCTAAGTTTTCATGCCAAAGCACAGTGACCAGCCACCAGCCTCTTCTTAGGACCTTTGCTTCACCTTGCTTTCCATTTTTAAGACATTTATGCTCTTCCTGAAGCTTCTTGGTATTTTACCTTGATCTTACGTCATAGCTCAGCTTAACAACCTTATTAAAGGAAACTTTAGGTCAACAGTTACTCAGACAATCAAAATGAGACATTTTAACTTCCTTTTAACTTATAGCTTTCTGTGTTTCATCTTGTTTGCTGAGAAGAAGCCAACATGGAGAAGACTCAAAATTCAAGCAGAACTGTATTAACCTTTCTGAAAGCAGAGAATCACAGCTGGTGCAGACCACAGCTTTGGGCAGTGTACACCCAACTATCTTTCCTGCAGAAATGCAATACCACAATGCTCATAACAGTCCTCATCAGGATGAACTACAGCTTACAAGGCAACCTCAATGCTGAGTTTACTACAGGAACAGCATCTCACTTTCATCAAGCAGATCTTGTGATCACACAGAGAAGCACAGGCTGCAGAAGGAAAATCCCATCTACACACACTGCCAGGAACCCGTCTTTCCATGAAAGCAGCCAATGATCTTTTTTCTTGATCTGCTTATTCCTCCCTGCCATGGCAGAATTATACCTTCCGTTCCTGCTCACTAAATACCTGAAGAGCAGGGAACCCACCACTTGCCTGATACGTTCCATGTCTCCTAATCATAGTGACTTTTCAAAGCATCCCTTTCAGCATCTATCCTGAAATTCTCTCCTTAAATCAGTCTCTCTTGAAAACATCATGCAGTAAAAACTCAAAGGCAGACTCTTCTGAATTATTAATAGTCTACTTAAATCCGGTTTTGGACTGAAGTGTAAAAATGGGAAAATCTGCTTCACTTCTAGCAAAGTTCATGGTGTGTGTACAAGTCTAACGAGCTGAGCTCATGTCAAGTGCTTATTGACATGGGAAGGGCCTCCCTCCATAATCCTCAGCTTGAGATTTGCAACTGTCAAGTGTACCATTCATAAATCACTCCCCAGGCAAGCTCATGTACACTCAAGGCCTTGTCATACACTTTAGGAGGCTTTTGTTAAAATCCTCCCAGTTTCTGTAATGCCAAGTGCCCTGTGCTTCAGTGAAGAGATGTCATTAGCTCCAGTAGGGATCCTTCCAAGAAACCAAACACCACCAACACTAACTTTATACAATGTAAGCCGTATTACAGACGAGTGCCTACTACATCTGTTGGCAACTTGGAGCCACTGAAAATACACTAAACAGATTGTGTCCTTGACCTCCCAAAGATGCAAGCTGGAACACCATGGGGGTGGGGTGGGTGGGAAATTCTAATTAATTTATAGTCACTCGAGTTCCTCCGTTTTCTTTTTTATTTTTTTTAGTATCTTGTCGCGCTCTCATGACTTTCATGTCCTTCTGGACTAATAATAAGCTGCACTATGAATAGCTGAAGGAGAGGAGAACATGCATAAGACCAATGAACCAGTAATGAAGCGCATCAGTAATAACCGCATCGATGGATGGACAAGGTTAGGGAGGGCAGAGTGCAGTGATGAGGAATTAGTTCAGTGGAAAGCAGGTAAGTGGCACATTTTTCTTCACGTACTTTCTCGAGGTACTGTACAAAAATTCTCAGCACCAACAAACCAATGCAGAGTGACTGCAGCCAGCATCTGCCACAGCTGAGGAGCTGAGGGTCTGTCCCGCACCAGCTCCCACCCCAAAGCTCTGCGACAGTCAAACACATTGGGCAGCACATGTGTGTGACCAGCACCTGCTGGGGGAGGAACCAAACAGGACCTGACCCTCTATTGCCACTCCCAGTCTAATTCCTGGTCTAGTGTGTGGGGATGTGGTGCCCCTCCCCCCGCAGTGTCAAGCACAGAACACAGTGAATGCTTGTTATCAGGAAAAATGCATTGGGTAGCTCATTTTTAAGTGCTTTTGTGATGTGATGAGAGAAATAATCTCTCTAGCAATTCCTCTCCAGTTTAGTAATACCCATCTGGTCGAGCCTCCAGTCTTGTATCTCACACTGGCATCAGAAGAACCATTTCAGCTCAGTTTCTTCAGCATGGGAACACCACTCCTTCCACCAAATTCATTACAACTCTCAAAACCTGCTTTCCTTTTCTTCTACAGGACACACAGCACATAAGAAACCTACTCAACATCTAGCTCTGAGAGCACCAGCCTCAGATCGGATCCTCTCACAAGGTCACCTGCCAAACTACTCACAACCCTTGCCAAACCAAGGAAAAATCATCAGGAAACACTATAGTAAGGATGCTTTCCACAACGAGAAGGAACATCTTATGCATGTCAGCAATAACCCATACCTACTGTTTAATTAGCTCCCTACTAAAACTCTTAGAAAATGTACCAGAAAACTAATGTATTTTCACAGGGTAAGTAAAACTGGTGTGTGGGGAATGGAGAGGTCTCTACTGTGCAGCCTCCATCCTCAACCACCACGTAAAAGCAACTCACCACAATAGTAATTGCACCACAGAAGGGGCCACAATGACAGGACAAAGGGATGTGGTAGGCAGTGCCCCGTCTGTGCATGAGGGCTTTCCTGGGACGCAAACACAAACTCCCCACCCCCAACATGGACACAGTGGAAAACCCTTCGGCCTCACCTAGAGATGGAGCCATCGTTGCCATGGGATTGGTGGGATCGAGCTGGAATCCACCCATCATGAACTGTGCATCTGAGGAAGTGCTGTCCATCTTCAAGTTGGGAAGGTTCATGTTCTGTGCCAGGTAGTACTGGTAGAGCTCGGCCTCAGCAGGTGACGGCAGGCTGCCGAGGCCCAGGTGCCGGTTGTGTTGGATTTGGGACATGTTTTGCTGAAGCAGCATCATGTTGTGCATGTGCTTCTCACTGGTCATGTGAATACGGAGGTTTCTAGCTACATTGGTCTCATAGTCGCACACCTCGCACCGCCATGTCGGTTTGGTTTTTGGTTTGGTGGGAGAGGGGGCCCCACATGTGCTACCAATGTTGGCTGCTGCAGCCGCTGCGACTGCTGCTGCCGCTGCCGCTGCTCCGGCAGTGTGGCTGAAGACTTGCTCTCCCCCTCCGTTCTGCAGGTTCTGCATGTTGTTGAGATGCTTGTCGGACTGCATATGAATACTGAGGTTGCCTTTGGTAGTAGTGGAGTAGTTACAGACCTCGCAGCGGAAGGGCTTGTAACCACAGGTGTAGCTCTCACCCCGTGCCAGCCGTGGGTGTGGCTGCCCACTTTTGCAGTACACACAAGAGCCACCCGGCTCGGGATGTTTCTCCTTCATGTGCGCCTCAAGTGTCTGCTGGTACTTGTAGTGCCAATTGCACTTGGGACACTTGAGTGTCTTACATGAGTTGCGAGAATGCATCATAGTCATGTGGCCACCCAGTGACCGTGAGGAGCCCAGGACCGTGTCGCACTTTGGGCACTCCACGCCGCTCCCCGAAGGGCACTCCCCACTCCCAAGCTCACAGAGGGGGCCAGCATGCTGGTGATGGGAAATGTAGCTCCCGTCCTCGCCCTCCGCACTCTCATTTGGTTCTGGTGCTGTGGCATTGTCTTTATTGGCACTTTCATCGATAAAGTCCAGCCTCCTGCTGCCCTCTGCCACACTGGCTCCGCCACCCTCATTGTTAAAGCTTAAGTGATTCCTCCTGCTTGCACCATCAAAGACAAAGGAAGAAGCAGAATTAGAACTAGTAGAAGCTGTGCTCCGTGACAGGGTCTGGAGCATGTTAGGCATTAAGGGAGAGTTAGAAATGCTTTGGTTTGAGAGAGCAAGGTCCTTTTTGCTGCTGCTACTGCCACCTGCCACAGCCCCACCATCCTCCTGGGGCCGCTCCTCCAGTTCATCCTCCAACTCACTCGGGAACAGTCCTTTGCAACCCTCATCATCCTCGTCTTCTTCCTCTTCTTCCTCTTCCTCTTCCTCCTCCTCCTCTTCCACATCTTCCTCTTCTTCTTCCTCCACCTCCTCGACTGGCTCTGCCTTTTCCGAGAGGCTGTCCTGCTCGCCTCCCTCTTGCTTCTCCCCCTCTGCCACCCCAAGGTCCTTCCCCTCTGAGGGTTTGGTGGGACTGGAGGCCAGCGGTCCCAGGGGGACTGAGGTAATAGGAGTCTTCAGAGCCGAGCTGGTCAGCCCTCCCAGGTTGAGGAGTGCACCGGGGGCCAGGACGCCTGCCGGCGGTGGCTCTGCTCCACTGGCCGCCCCGGCCTGAAGGGCCTGCTCGCCCTCCATGCAAATGCCACTGAATTTACCATAAAAACTGTGTCCAGGGCCTATGAGGTTAGCTGCAGAAACGAGAGGGTGCTGAAAGGTTTTGTTTTTTGGTTCCAGAAAGCTGACAAGGGGTTCCTTGTCTTTGCCTATCCCTTGGATGATAGCGGAGATGTTCTTATTGCTAAGAATTTTCCGCTCCTCCTCACTCAAAGTCATTCGGTGGTCGTGCACTGCGTGGGTCACGAACGAGCGGACATACCCAAAGGACAGCTTGCACAAGAAACACATCAGGATTGGCTTCCTCTTCCCGTAGAGCACAAAGCCATCGAATTTGGACAGGTCCACATTGTTGGGAACATCTTTGGATACGCAAGAGCTTTTGGCAGAACCGTCGCTGTTCAGGTAATCCTTGTTGCTTTTGTGTCGCACATCAAAGACGCGGAAGCTGTGCAGGACGGGGCTGATGCCCGCCAGGGCTGAGGTATTCGGGAAGGCCTGGTCTGAACCCTCAAACCACCTCCCGAAGGATGAGGCTATGTGGAAGGTGTTGATGATCTGTGGGTAGACGGGAGCGGCGGCGGAGGGCTCTCCCTGCTTGGGCAGAGAGCTTGGCAGCAGCGAGGAGAGAGCCCCGCTGCCACAGGCGCCCCCGCTCTGCACCAGCTGGCTGAGGCTCTCCACGATGTAGGCTGAGCCGTCAGGCTGGTACACGATCTCGCCAGCCAGGTTCTCCACATCACTCTCCTCCTCCCCGTCTTCGCTACTCTCGCTCCCGCTCTCCCCGCGCAGTGGCGGGGCCGGGCGGGCGCTGGCACAACGGTGCTCCATGTAGCTCTGCAGGCCAGTGAAGGAGGCGCCGCACTGCCCGCAGCTCACCTCCTTGCCAGTGGGCTCGGCGCCAGGGCCAGCCGCGGCGCTGCTCTCAGGGACGTGCTCTGGGAAAGGGACCCTCAGGCTGTCCAGGGGGCCGCGGGTCTCTGCTGCAGGCTGCTCCATGCTGCTGGCTGCATCAGGGAGGTGGGCACTGTTGAGATCAGTCCATTGCTGGTGCTGAGGGATGCCACACCCATTGTCCTTCCCAGGGATGACAGGCGAGTCACAGCCTTCCATGGCAGGGCCGGCTCGGAGCGCTCATTGCACCCGGTACAGCTCGGACCTGTAGGTGGGGAGAGAAGGAGAAAGGCAGGTGAGTCAGGTAGGAGAGACAGTTCCCATGAAGACTTCCCCACCACAAGGACCACCTAGATCAGGGGCTCTTCAGGACCAAATGGAAGGCTGAGAGAGCTGGTGCCCTATGATGGGCTCCAGGAACAGGCTCTAATGCACTGCTGGAAATGAGCAATGGAAACACAGTGGAAGGAGGAACACAAAAGGCAAGACAAAGGGACCTGGGCAGTGGTGATAACCTCCCCAACACCTTTCCTGAACCAGAGAAGTGTAGGACCTGCACTGCCACACCCAAAGTCTTAGATCTTCAGAAAACAAAAACGTAACAGAAAAGTTTTTGACAGGAACAAAGTTAAGACACTACAACCGAATAGTGCTGGAGCTTAAAAATGTTGTAAGAATGGTACTCTGTGACTCGCTAAGCCAGCTGCTGTTATTTTATTTTTGGGTGATTTCTTCTCTGGGCGGTTCAGAGAGGACAGAAACAGAGCTACCACACGTGCACCTCTGTGGCAGACTACAGGACCCAGAGCAACTCAGAGATTTCATAGCAGCAGCATTTGGCATGCACAGGAGATTTAATTGCTGTGTTCTGGACAGAGTTTAAACAGAGACATGTCAGGAGAGAAACCAAACAGGAAATTCCAGATCTGACAAGGGTCCATCCCGGGGATAGGAAAGCAAGCAGCCCACCATGCTCCAGGAAGCTCCTGAAGATGCTACAGGGCACAGCCTCCATACACAGACAGAGGCTTCCTCTCACCCCCAGATGAGACAGACAGCTGATTCAGGTCCTAGAGGAGAAGGGAGGACACCCTTCCTACTACTTCTGTTCCAACAAATACAATGGGAGCTGGGGAACTCACCCAGAGTACAAGCAGCCAGCAAGCAGGGGCTGCTGAGCATGGCCAACATAGGTGTTTCCCAACCACCTCTACCCCTTTTGCTGCATCCTGCCAGCGTCTCTGGTGCTGCAATCCTGACAGAGCCAGGCAGGATGTGTCTTTCTAGAGGTTACAGACCTAAGAAATTAGGGACTGCTACTGTTAAGAGCTGGACCATTGTAATGTAGACCACAAATAAGCAGGGACTGCCAGTTCAGTTGCAACCCTACCACAACCCTGTCTGCAAAGAAGCATTTATATAGTCTGCTTTCTATAGAGAGCTGCACAAGCCACACGGGAGGAAACACCAGCAGAAATTAAAGCACTATTACCTCATCTGTAAAAGTGATCTTTAACCTATGGTCCACAGATTTCCTCAGGTATACAGACTCAAGTATACAGATGCAAAGGATCCATAGAAAACAGACAAGGAACAACTGTGCAAGCACAGGCCAACTTCACCACGCTTTTACAATCCCAAGAGACAACAGAAGAGTCACACTCCAGATCTGTGGTCATCAATGCCACACAGGAAATCTTCCACAATACTTATCTTTAGAACTGAACACAAGTACTACTTCACTCACCAGACTATTCCCGAACTGAATACGTATGGGGAAAGTTTTTGCTGATACTCAGTGTAAGGGTTTGTGGGACAGGGCAGTTTTAATTTAACAATATGCCGTTACTCTTGAACTGACTTAATGGACTTTAAGTAATACATTTAAAGTTTACAAATTCTTTCTAAGCCTTTCTTGAAACCTCTCTCATTTACTACCTCTTCCTCAAAGTCGCTCTTACCTGAGCATTCTCCAAGTAGCTGCTGCTTCAGCTCATGAGATACACCAAACAGGGCGCAGTGCTGGAGCTCTGATTAGACTGGACTATTAGTGGGGACCCCTCACTCCCCTCCGAGACTTATGTAGGGACCAGCTGGCATCTCGGGGCTTCACGGATCTCCCTTCCGACACCTCCAGCCACATCAGCAGCCTGCTGCCACCCCTGGGCTCTCGCACCACAGACTATCAGTGCCTTGGCAATCTATGCTACTACCTAAAAGTCAAATATTATAATTGTAGTTTGAAAGTGTTTCCGGTGTTCTCCAGCTCGATTTCAGCCCATCGGGCAAGGAAGACCGTCGTGATCTCCGGAAGAGCAGCGTGCTGTAAGACAAGCTACCTTTCCTTGTGTGTCTGCCTGCCCAGTGCATGCTGCACACGGTTACTGCTGTACAAGCAAACAACTGGTACATAAATATCTGGGAAACACAAGAAAAAATAAAAAGAGAACTGAAGATTTGCCAGAGAAGGTGCAAAGTAGGTAACATGCCACAGCAGCACTGAACGAATTGCCCAAGTTAGTTCAAGCAAAAGAAAATGGAACAACATTCAATGTTCTTTTTTTCCTGTTTTCATACCACATGAAGCCATCCATATTTTTTCTGATTTGCCTTCATGTGTCCTTTTTTTTTCCTGTTTTACTGCTGGTGAAGCTTGAGAAAAAATATTTACAACTGCTCGTGAAGGTGGAAGTTAACATTTCCCAAAGTGAGGGAAGTGAGGATTCTGATAGAAGGACATGGAGGCGCAATGGTATAATAATCCAAAGCATTCACACACACCTCACTGCATTTCCAGCCCCCATCTTCCTTGAATTCTATGCCATACACAGCTGTCTTTGTGGTTGCACTGGGAATAAACAATGATTTTGAGTTGCAATAAAAATAACCTGGTGCACTGAGTGGAATAAGAACAAGAGTACCATAACCCTGTTGCCAAAAAGCTGAGTCTTCTTAATCAGCCTGTTTTGCTTACCTTAGCTAAAACACTTCAGCACTTCAGCACAGCACTGTGGCAGCTCTTACTTCACCAGCTCTCTCCCACTGAACATTTGTCATTAGCTCTGTGTTTTCTTTAGACTGATCCCAGATCCTTCTGTGTTAATGCTGCATATTCAGCCTCCCACAACATGACGTACTCTATCCCGCTCACTGCTACTTTTTGCACTGACAACTGCAATCCAAATTAAACTAAAGCAAGTTCATATTGGGTGGGGAAAAAAGAGTAAAATAAGAAACTCTATAAACCCCATACTTCTGCCAAGTAAAGTTTTGGAAATACCTCTGCAGACCTCAAAATGCAATGTGGAACAAGAGCACCCAACAGACGCTTTTAGGCAGGAAGTGTTCAGGCAGTACCCCAGAATATACAGCTAGGTGAGATGTGACACGAATCTGAGTGTCTCTATCATCAAGAACTCCTGACTGGCAGGAAGATGCTCGACTCACAGTTGGGCCAAAAGGGTGACTGGGGCTGATGGGGTGGGAGGGTTAACAGCCTGATTGTAAAATCAATGTAATAAATGCTTGGTAAGTTACAGGAACATGCGGGAAGAGGAGGCCGCGATTGATAAAGGACTCAGCTTTGATGCTGCACTGGGGACTTGTTTATTGACAAGAAAGCCAATCCCTTCTCCTGGCCAGGCCAGACTAGGCAGATCTGTGAGTGCTGACGAATTAATTGGTGGGCTTTTCTATCTTGGGTTGCTTTATCCTCTCTCCCCCCCAACTCACTCCATGTTAACCAGTTCAGAAGGTGCTACACCAAAGGAATCTTTCTCTCCTTCCCCTTTCCTTGTCACAGAGGAGCCTTTACAGAACAGGAGAAAAACCCACAGCCAAAACATGGCCAGCCAGAGCCCCTGACACAGGCTAAGCCCCTAGACAAATTCAAGCTTTTCCTGCCTGCTCAGTCTATTAACAAGAGCTACTCCTGCAAAACTATGCTGATGAGGAAGAACAACAGGAATACTTGTTTCTATTTGCAGATATTGTCTCTTTAAACTGAAAAGAGCAATTGCCGTGTTAAAGCAAACCAGACTCCAAGCAGGAGTACAGTGTAGTTGTTAGTCCACTATTATGGGCCCTGTATCTTCCTCTATCCCAGACCACCCCTCATCAACCTGCATGGGACAGGGGGCTCTTGCGAGGACAGACAGATGCTCCACACCTCCCACCCCCAGCCCTCTCTGCTCTGTTTATCAGACAGTCAATAAGAAAAGGTAGTTCTTACTTAAGGAGGCAGAAGTCAACTTGTCAGGTCGATCAGCACTCTGTCTGTAAACATGGTTTCCCGTAAAATCAATGAACTCCAGTTACAGAGAGAACAGCCTGACTGCTGGAGACTCCCTGTGTTCCCACCAGTGGGGAAAGGCTCTCCTCAATCCCTTCTCTGGCCTCACATCCCAGTGCTGCTCCCAGCACTGTGCTCACCGTACCACTGGCACACAGCCCACCCAAGCCCCTACTCCTCTGCAGCATCACTGTATCTTGCAGTCCCTTCAAGCAGATTTGGGTCCTGGCTGGAGGACTTTCGACACAGCAGGGGAGAGAGCAACAGCCACAGCAGTCCGCAGCCGAGCTACCTCTGGATGGGCCAGTGCAAATGAAAGCACTGTATGCCCCACGCTTTCATCAAAGAGTTTCCACTAACCACAGCTAGTGGTATGCAGCTGCGCTCTGTCCAGAACACAAGTGGAGTCAACCCCCCCATCTTCCCCCTCCCTGCCCCATCTTCGCAGGGACAGGCATGTCATCGTACAGCAGCGCTTCCACCACCAAGCAGCAGCTGGTGCTGAAGCAACACCCTCAGCCCCAGCAGGCTGGGGGCTTCTGGGGACCCTGGGCCCACTGCACCAGGCTGCTCTCCCCAGTGATATGGTGTGTGCGGTGGAGGGAGGGCTCCTGCTGCTGCCCAGACTTCCCGAGAATTAAATATGAACAGCCGTGCTGTGTAATTTTAAATTGTTAATTAGCACAGGGTTAATTACGCGGCCCTTTCACAAGAGGCTGTTTGGCAGTAAACCAAGACTGGAAGCAATGAGGAAGGAGAAAAACAAAAGGAGAAAGAGACAGTGAGAAACTGTTCCCTCAGCTAATGACCCGCATGGCACCATGAAAAAAGAAAGGGTGCTGAGGACAAGGAAAAGATACAAGCAGATGCATTACATCCATGCCATTACCCTGGAAGATACCCAGAGAGGCAGCCCTCCCTCTGCCTATTCCCACAGCTGCACAGTGGAGAGAAGTGCTCAACCCTGTAATGAG